CCCTCCCTCTCTCTCTCTCTCTCTCTCTCTCTCTCTCTCTCTCTCTCTCTCTCGCTCGGTTCCTTGTACGTCATTACCGTGACCGGACTGCTTTAAATAAATACATAAACAAATCCCCCAAGATCTCACACCTACCCCGAGAACAGACATCTAAATGTGTCATTTTCAAATGAGAAAATGTTTTAGAGATAAACTGTACTGTTCACTAAGAATAATGTGTGGCTGCTAAAATCATGTCAGATTAGTTTTAATTTATCACTTAACTTTATAGAAGGTGCAATAAATAGAAACAGGCTTAATGAAATCAGTATTTTCTCTAACTGACCTTTGTCAACGCAACTCTAATAGTTCTCAGGTAGGTCGTTTCAAACATCTTGGAAAAGTTACCACAGTTCTTCTGTCTCTTTGTGTAATGACTATGATGTTGATATCAGGGCTCTGGGGGCCAGACCATCTGTTCTTCTTGCCTCTGGAGACAGTTCTTTATGACTTTACAGAACTTTGCTCATTATTTCTTGACTTTGGACATTTTGACAAAATAATCTCAGCACATGGTCCATTAATCAATCAGTACAATCTAGTGTTCTGGTTCTTTTAATCTTTATTACTAAATCTTCATCAGAACATAGAACTTGTCTAGTTGTTTAAACTTTCATTTTTTTCTCAGCACAAACATGTATTCATTCCAAATTCTATAACATCGGCACACTCTGCTAATGAACGCTAGTGTGACTGACAGCTGCAGAACAAATCTCTCAGAGAAGGAGGATAAAAGATGTAACAGTGTTTTAAGACACCAGGCAGAGACCGAGGACCTAGATGCAGACACAGACAGGCAGTGAGGAAGGTGAGTCTTACTGTTTATTTAACAATCACAAAAAGACTTAGAGTCCAGGGAGGCAACACCGAGCAAGGAGAAGAGGCTGAAAAAAACAGGGTCACAATGCATGCATAGTCTGAACAGAGCAAATAATCTAAGGGGGCTGGTGAGTGGCAGAATCCAGCAAACAAACAGAGTTCAGGACACAAGTGAATCCAAACAAACAGGGTTCTCAAAAAACAAGGACTGAATCAAGTGGCAAGGACGCTGAGGCTGAAAGCAGAAACCTACAGGTAAGCACATCAGACAACTTGGTGAGAAACACAAGTAAACAGGCTTATAAACTGAGTGACACTAATCAAGTGGATACACCTGTGGAGTGTGTGCGGCTGAGAGAGAGAGAGTAAGTGAGTGAGACTGTGTGAAGGGCAGAGCTGGAGGGAAGACCTGGGGTGATTGGAGACTGGATGGAGAATGACAATTTCTAGAAATGTCCAGAAGGGGAAAACATGAGATGGAGACAGAACCGGGAAAGTGACAAATGTTATTTTTCTGCAGCTTGAAGGGAAACCACAGCCCACCTTGACATACTGTGTCTATAATAATGGAGCATTGCTCTGTGTTTATTGTTTTTCCTGGTGTGACACGCTCAGTCAATATGTAGACCAGCCGGGACTGTTTCATTAGTCAGCGGAGAACATCTCCAGGCACCAAGATCACTGACGACAAGGCCGTTCCACCCACCGCACCAATCCTCTCGTTTTATGGCTCCCACCTCCAGATCAATACCACCTGCCTGTGAGTGTGTGTGTGGCTGTGTGTATATGGTTTATGTGCAATGTGTGGCAGCTCAGTCTGATCCAGAGTGACAATGCACCCCCTGAGAGTCAATAAACAAAAGAGAAAATGATGCATTGATGAATGTGGGATAATGCTGCTGGATTTATCTGCAGGCAAACTCTGAGCAGTTTAAATATTAATGAACTTCAGCTCATGTTTGGATTATATTATCGAAACACTAAAACCCCATAAATATAATGTAGAGATAGGTTTGTTTTCAGTGCACATTTAACCCTCAGCATGAGATTTTAAGAGCATTTTGGACTTTTCAGAGGCAAATCCTGTCAAACTTATGTTCATAATTGTTTGAAAAACCACCATAAATCAGGACAAGCAGCACAAACCTCCTAAATTTACTTAAATTTTGTACTGTATATTTGTATCAGAGTATCCTTTTGGAATATAAACTGCATGGGATGTTATTTCTGGGGAGACCTGCTGGCTAACCATACTATCTGCATGTATGAGGCTGCCGCCAATTAAACAAAATGGTGGTGTTGCTGCTGACTCAAGAGCAAAACTTGCTGCAGGGAGCGAGACTCATTGATTATGGATGTTTTTCTACAGTAGCTGTGTAACTACAATAAATTTGTAGTTCTGTCAGTACTACTGTGCTTCATGACCCCCTGATGAACCTGTAGAAAAGATAAAGGTCACCTGCTGGACCAACCAGTCAGCGCTCAATGTTTCATGCAAGACAAAGGAAACAGTCCCAGAAGGTTCCATAGAAAAGATCATGGAATCAGCTGTGCACTGCTTTTCACCAGAGATGGGGAAGTTAAGCTGGTGCATGTTTGCCAAACTAAGCATTTAGCTGTCATCTTCGTATTCTTTTCTCTTGATGCACTGAAAACGACTGTCATGGTTGTGTGTACATAGCAAATAGGATGGATGACCCAAATGTAGACAGATCAGACAGGAACAGTTCGGTGATTTTTAGAGAAAGTTGCTGATAGCAACAAAGGTTTACAGGCAGCCTGGTATAAATACTGATGGGGTTAATGGGTGAATGGGAACTGGTGCGTACATGGGTGTGAAAGTTCAGGTGACAGGTGTGTCAGGAGGGATGGTCCAATGCAAATACAGGTGCCTAGGGAAGCAAGACCATGTCTGAGGGCAGGGACACGGGCCTCTCAGTAAAAAGAAAGTAAAATGTAAGTGTTACCTGTGTGCTGATTGTCCACATCAAGTGCAGCATCTTTAAGCCTCATTGTGATTTGCTGAGCTGTAATTGGGTCCTTACTGTCTCCCGGGGCCAGCAAGTGGAGGGCAACTACTGGTACTTGACAGTAGATGACAGCTGCAATTGCATGGGGTGTTTTTTCCCCCAGCAACCAAAAGGGGCATCAATGAGGTGTTCCACCCTCAAAAACACACTGACAAAGGACACAAGGGTGGGCTTACTGAAGGTGTGTTCAAGTTTCCCTCAGGTGACGCTGACATCTTTATTTTAAAACAAGAAATCCAAAGGGGATATTTCGTTACATAAGGGGGACTGGAATTTTTCGTGTTTTTCCTGTTGACATCGGTTCATTTTGTGAATCTTACATTTTGTGAGCATGAGTCAACATCCATCTCTTTCTAAATATAATGTGATTATTTCACCATTACTTTCTCACTGCAGTTGAACAATATTATATTTTTACAAGCACTAAGTGGAAACTATAGAATAGCTCTATGTTGAGTGCTACATCTCTGTTGTTAGAATTTGTTTTACATTAACTTTCCACTCAGCATTTAAATGGAATATTTAATGGTTTAGTTTGTTTCAATTTATGTGTTAGAGTATGATTTGCTTTGTTTTAATATTCTAAATTATTGTGGGAATCATTTTATACTGTATGTGATGACTGATTCCCTTTTCTGACTTGAAAACACACACCTGCACACACACACATCCCCGCACATATATTTTGCTATGTTATTGGATAAATGCCCCAACAAGACTCCCCATCAGTTATATGGGACCATCTGTGGATTCGCCCCAGCTTTGTTTACAGTATGTATTAAATCCTGGCACCAGCCAGTAGATTACCATTACCAGCAGATTTTTAGCCTGACAAAATCATAAGGACAACAAGCTGAAATACAGTATGTTGTTGCAGCAGTTTCCCTGAACACTGACTTCTGTTAGTGTAGCATTTAGAAGAAAAGGCTCTAGCTAGTTGCTAAACCATATAACCAAGAATAAATTTAATTTGTAAAAGAATTAGTTAATGAAAGCTAGGACAAAAGATAGTATACTGTAAAAGATGTTGGTGCATAGTACACTGTAAAATAACACATTTATTTAAAGAGTTTTGGGCAAAAAAAACCCTAACCTTTAAAGCCCAGGAATTTTCCCTTTATTAGATCATTTTAAATATATTGACAGTAATATATTGCTAATTTTAGAACACATAGTATATATGAAGTAATATTAGTTAGCATTCAGTGTAGTTTGAAGACTTTTAACTCTGACACAGTGCATGCTGGGAAGTCTGCTAGTTCAGACCATAAAACAGTAAGAAACAGTCCTGATGACAATGCCTAAAGAAGGGTCAGTATGCTCGGCAAAATCATTTGAATCCATCATCTGGGGCACGTGAATGTCCACAGAAAACTTTATACAAATCTGGTAATCCTTAGTTATAAATTAGGTGTTGGGACAACTGTGTTTCTATCCTTTGGTTGCTTTTATTAAAAAAAATAGTAATAATAAAATCTCTGCATACAGTTAACTCAGAGCTAAAATATATTTACAGCTGAGATGTTTTCTGAGGACGCTCTGTCTATGAATTCCCTGTAGAAACAAGATAAACGGGCCCTTCGTTGTGATTAGCTGTGACTGTTTGATTAGCCTGGTGTATTTTTAGTTAAACTCAGCCACCCAGACTGTCTCAAACAAGAAAATGAACCATGTTCTTGATAAATGTATATGGTGTGCTGCACCACAAAGTCACTAGAGCAGCAGAGGAAGTGTCTCTTTATCACCACACCAACTAGAGCCTCTAAGTTTTTAGGTTTAGAAGAAAGTTTTCCAGTTTAATAAGTAAATTAATGATGTGAGATTGTAAAAACAACCCTCAATACCCTGACTGTTGAATAAGAAGTCATGTCCTTTATCCAGCCCTAAACTTTACTATTAGCACTTTTACTTAAGATAATATTGTCTTAATTCTACTGCCATACACTTGAATGCATAACTCTTCCAGTGCCGC